TTCAACGGGGGTATGCCACCTCTGCCATGGTGACTCTGGTCTCATGTGGAACTATTTCCGTGTGTAGATTTGGAACCAGTTCGTCTAATATTTACCTAATGGAAATTATAATGTCTTTCCCGAGAGAGACATCACACATTATTGAGAGACATTGTACATTATTTAGATATTATTGCTACATTGCATATAATTGTTTCATGGGCGGCCTTACACAACACAAAGATGTATATATCAGTATTAATTTTTAATTGACGATTATGGAGACAAACAAGGTTGTTTATTGTCCACACCAAAACAAGTATTGCTCGACCAACCGGGCTGTGGTGGGTATGTGGGCCTGCGGGCCGCTCCAAGCAACAGCCTAGTGGACCAAGCTCTCACAAGTCAAGCCTGGCCTCGGGCCGGGCTTGGGGAGTAGAAGAACTCCCAGAACCCCATCAACCAGGTACGATCAAGGTACATAAATCAATGACCCAACCCACACATCAGAAGGAAAAGTGACGACGGTTGGGTCCGTCCTGGCCTCCTAAACCGACGTGATAGGATGATGTGGGTCCAAGAGTGACCCAAACGTCGTCGCCTTCATCATTCCATGTGTACTCACCAAGTTATGCTTGCGGGGGTTGAGCTCTGGCTCTTTGGTCCCGCCTCTCAACCGTCAATCAACTGGTGTACAGGTTCCTGAGCCTATTTGGCTCTTATCATATCTACACTTGAAACTGTGTATGGAGTCAGCCTCCACCACATCACTTCCTAATGCATTCCATTTGTCAACCACTCTGACACTAAAAAAATTCTTTCTAATATCTCTGTGGCTCATTTGGGCACTCAGTTTCCACCTGTGTCCCCTAGTGCGTGTGCCCCTTGTGTTAAATAGCCTGTCTTTATCTACCCTGTCAATTCCTCTGAGAATCTTGTACGTGATGATCATATCCTCCCCTAACTCTTCTGTCTTCTAGCGACGTGAGGTTTAATTCCCGTAGTCTCTCCTCGTAGCTCATACCTCTCAGCCCGGGTACTAGTCTGGTGGCAAACCTTTGAACTTTTTCCGTGTCTTCTTTGAACGTGTGTGTGTGTGTGTGTGTGTGTGTGTGTGTGTGTGTGTGTGTGTGTGTGTGTGTGTGTGTGTAAATATACACAGATTTACGGCTGCCCTACATAAAAGTATTCGCTGTGTCTTTTACATGGTGTCATTAATGTGAATTTACAAAGGTGAAATGTAATTCTGCTCAGCTTCTACATATACTTTATACACATACATACACACACACACACACACACACACACACACACACACACACACACACACACATATATATATATATATATAATAAATATATATATATATATATATATATATATATATATATATATATATATATATATATATATATATATATATGCAAACAAGCCTGAATGGTCCCCAGGACTATATACGACTGAAAACTCACACCCCAGAAGTGACTCGAACCCATACTGCCAGGAGCAACGCAACTGGTATGTACAGGGACGCCTTAATCCGCTTGACCATCACGACCGGACATAAGGAAGTGATAGCCGAAGCTATTTGAACCACTCCCCCGCCGGCACTCGGATGGTAATCTTGGGCATAGCATTTTATCAAATCACCTCATTCTTTGGGGCACACGTGAGGAACACAAATGCAAACAAGCCTGAATGGTCCCCAGTTTTCAGTCATATATATATATATATATATATATATATATATATATATATATATATATATATATATATATATATATATATATACACACACACACACACACACACACACACACACACACATACATGCACATACATTTGTCTCTCCTACTCTGACAGGGTGAGATAGCTGATAGAGAAGCTAGTGTGATATTAAGCCCTTAACCACTGAAGGTGATTAAGATGCTTTTACAAGCTCAGGTTATATAGTTACATCACATACATACATTGTATAATTGATACATTACATGGTCCATCTTGGGTACAAGTCCAATATACCAACCCGTTCTCGCAAATTTGTAAAGTCAATATTGACTTATTAACTACGTGCATAGGTGATATACTAAACATAATAGATACACTTAAAAAGATTCATAGAAAACACCGACCTTACCTAACCTTGTTAGTATCTTAAGATAAGCATCTCATTGCTTCGTAATTACAATTATTACTTAACCTATACCTATTATAGGTTAGGTAATAATTGTAATTACGAAGCAATAAGATGTTTATCTTAAGATACTAACAAGGTTAGGTAAGGTCGGTGTTTTCTATGAATCTTTTTAAGGGTATCTATTATGTTAAGTATGTCACCTATGCACATATGTATTCACCTAGTTGCGTTTGCGGGGGTTGAGCTTTGCTCTTTCGGCCCGCCTCTCAACTGTCAATCAACTGTTTACTAACTACTTTTTTTCCACACCACACACAGCCCCCGCACACACAAACAGGTGAGTACACACACCAGGAAGCAGCCCGTGACAGCTGACTAACTCCCAGGTACCTATTTACTGCTAGGTAACAGGGGCATTCAGGGTGAAAAAAAACTTTGCCCATTTGTTTCTGCCTGGTGCGGGAATCGAACCCGCGCCGCAGAATTACGAATCCTGCGCGCTATCCACCAGGCTATCAGGCCCCTAAATAGTGTGTATGTGACCCCCAGTCACCTAATGTGTACTCACCTAATTGTGCTTGCGGGGGTTGAGCTTTGGCTCTTTGGGCCTGCTTCTCAACTGTTGTACAGATTCCTGAGCCTACTGGGCTCTATCATATCTACATTTAAAACTGTGTATGGAGTCAGCCTCCACCACATCACTGCCTAATGCATTCCACCTGTTAACTACTCTGACACTGAAAAAGTTCTTTCTAACGTCCCTGTGGCTCATTTGGGTACTCAGTTTCCACCTGTGTCCCCTTGTTCGCGTACCGCCAGTGTTGAATAGTTTATCCTTGTCTACCCTGTCAATTCCCCTGAGGATTTTGTAGGTAGTGATCATGTCTCCCCTCACTCTTCTGTCTTCCAGTGTCGTAAGGTGCATTTCCCGCAGCCTTTCCTCGTAACTCATGCCTCTTAGTTCTGGGACCAGTCTAGTGGCATACCTCTGAACTTTTTCCAGCTTCGTCTTGTGCTTGACAAGGTACGGGCTCCATGCTGGGGCCGCATACTCCAGGATTGGTCTTACGTATGTGGTGTACAAGATTCTAAACGATTCCTTACACAGGTTCCTGAAGGCTGTTCTGATGTTAGCCAGCCTCGCATATGCCGCAGACGTAATTCTTTTTATGTGGCTTCAGGAGACAGGTTTGGTGTGATATCAATTCCTAAATCTCTCTTTCCGTTTCATTAAGTACTTCATCTCCCATTCTGTATCTTGTGTCTGGCCTCCTGTTTCCACCGCCTAGTTTCTTTATTTTGTATTTACTCGGGTTAAACTTTAACAGCCATTTGTTGGATCATTCACTCAGTCTGTCTAGGTCATCTTGTAGCCTCCTACTATCGTCCTCTGTTTCAATCCTCCTCATAATTTTTGCATCATCAGCAAACATTGAGAGAAACGATTCTATACCCTCTGGGAGATCATTTACATATATCAGAAACAGTATTGGTCCAAGGACTGACCCCTGCAGGACTCCACTTGTGACGTCACGCCAATCCGAGACCTCACCCCTCACAGTGACTCGTTGTCTTCTGTTACTTAGGTACTCCCTTATCCAACGGAGTACCTTCCCTTTCACTCCAGCCTGCATCTCCAGCTTTTTCACTAGCCTCTTGTGTGGTACTGTAACAAAGGCTTTTTTACAATCCAAAAATATGCAGTCTGCCCACCTCTTTCTTGCCTGATTTTTGTTGCCTGGTCGTAGAATTCAATTAGTCCTGTGAGGCAGGACTTGCCATCCCTGAACCCATGTTGATGCTGCGTTACAAAGTTCTTTCGCTCCAGATGTTCCACTATCTTTCTTCGCACTAGCTGTGTACTCACCTAGTTGTACTCACCTAGTTGTGTTTGCGGGGGTTGAGCTCTGGCTCTTTGGTCCCGCCTCTCAACCGTCAATCAACAGGTGTACAGATTCATGAGCCTATCGGGCTCTGTCATATCTACACTTGAAACTGTGTATGGAGTCAGCCTCCACCACATCACTTCCTAATGCATTCCATTTGTCAACCACTCTGACACTAAAAAAGTTCTTTCTAATATCTCTGTGGCTCATTTGGGCACTCAGTTTCCACCTGTGTCCCCTTGTGCGTGTTCCCCTTGTGTTAAATAGACTGTCTTTATCTACCCTATCAATCCCCTTCAGAATCTTGAATGTGGTGATCATGTCCCCCCTAACTCTTCTGTCTTCCAGCGAAGTGAGGTTTAATTCCCGTAGTCTCTCCTCGTAGCTCATACCTCTCAGCTCGGGTACTAGCCTGGTGGCAAACCTTTGAACCTTTTCCAGTTTAGTCTTATCCTTGACTAGATATGGACTCCATGCTGGGGCTGCATACTCCAGGATTGGCCTGACATATGTGGTATACAAAGTTCTGAATGATTCTTTACACAAGTTTCTGAATGCCGTTCGTATGTTGGCCAGCCTGGCATATGCCGCTGATGTTATCCGCTTGATATGTGCTGCAGGAGACAGGTCTGGCGTGATATCAACCCCCAAGTCTTTTTCCTTCTCTGACTCCTGAAGAATTTCCTCTCCCAGATGATACCTTGTATCTGGCCTCCTGCTCCCTACACCTATCTTCATTACATTACATTTGGTTGGGTTAAACTCTAACAACCATTTGTTCGACCATTCCTTCAGCTTGTCTAGGTCTTCTTGAAGCCTCAAACAGTCCTCTTCTGTTTTAATCCTTCTCATATTTTTAGCATCGTCCGCAAACACCGTGTGTGTGTGTGTGTGTGTGTGTGTGTGTGTGTGTGTGTGTGTGTGTGTGTGTGTGTGTGTGTGTGTGTGTGTAGGTTATTTGCTTCCTTCAAGGTTTGGTGTGTAATTTTTCTTGATAATTAGTTATTAATGAATATAGAGCGCGGGCAGAGACTGATACAAACAAGTGCCAGAGTGGGCACGGGACCCACAGTGGGCACGGGACCCACAGTGGGCACGGGACCCACAGTGGGCACGGGACCCACAGTGGGCACGGGACCCACAGTGGGCACGGGACCCACAGTGGGCACGGGACCCACAGTGGGCGCGAGACCCACAGTGGGCACGGGACCCACAGTGGGCACGGGACCCACAGTGGGCACGGGACCCACAGTGGGCACGGGACCCAGAGTGGGCACGGGACCCACAGTGGGCACGGGACCCACAGTGGGCACGGGACCCACAGTGGGCACGGGACCCACAGTGGGCACGGGACCCACAGTGGGCACGGGACCCACAGTGGGCACGGGACCCAGAGTGGGCACGGGACCCACAGTGGGCACGGGACCCACAGTGGGCACGGGACCCACAGTGGGCACGGGACCCACAGTGGGCACGGGACCCACAGTGGGCGCGAGACCCACAGTGGGCACGGGACCCACAGTGGGCACGGGACCACAGTGGGCGCGAGACCCACAGTGGGCGCGAGACCCACAGTGGGCGCGAGACCCACAGTGGGCGCGAGACCCACAGTGGGCGCGAGACCCACAGTGGGCACGGGACCCACAGTGGGCGCGGGACCCACAGTGGGCACGGGACCCAGAGTACATTCTTGAGTCCGGGATCTAGAAGATTGTCTGGGACGGCGGATAAACATTGGCCTTGTTGCTGTAACAGCGTCTCATCACGCTCCTGGCTCCCGTACTTCACCTCTCCCCTCTGCTTGTTCCAACTCTCTCTCTCTCTCTGCCTCTATCTTCCTCTGTTTCTCTCGCGCACTCTCCTCCCCACCCCCCCCCCTCTCTCTCTCCCTTTCTCATTTCCCCTCCTTCCACTGTCCCCCTCTCTCACCCTCAGTTCCCTCCCCCTATCTCCCTATTTACCCCACCCGGCACTCTCCCTTAGTGTCTTGAAAAGTATCATCATTGGTATGGCATCCCTTGCTTGGAAGGGCCTTGTTACCCAACCTGTCTTTTTTCTTGACAGTTACTTTATGGTGTTCTGTAAAGGTAAGGTCTTCTGACATGATTAGTCCTAGATCCTATACATTGTTGCTCTTTCGTTCTATTATGTGATTTGACTGTGTTTTATATGTGGATTTCGTTTTTATGTTTTTTCATAGCGTAGGAGCTGGAATTTAGTTTCATTAAACATATTATATTTATGTTATTATATATATCCGTGGCCCACTGAAAGACCCGATTTACATCACACTGGAGGTTTGCCGAGTACTCTATATTGTCTACTCACAAGAAAATCTTAGTGTCATCGGCAAATGATGATACAATTTGTGTCCTTGTCTGTCTGATTTAAGGATGAGAAAAAGTACCGGAGCAAGTATGGTACCTTGGGGGACTGACCTGTTCACAGTAGATGATCCGGATTTTACTGTGTTGGCTATTACACTCTGCGTTCTATTCATTAGTTGCTATTACACTCTGCGTTCTATTCATTAGTTGCTATTACACTCTGCGTTCTATTCATTAGTTGCTATTACACTCTGCGTTCTATTCATTAGTTGCTATTACACTCTGCGTTCTATTCATTAGTTGCTATTACACTCTGCGTTCTATTCATTAGTTGCTATTACACTCTGCGTTCTATTCATTAGTTGCTATTACACTCTGCGTTCTATTCATTAGTTGCTATTACACTCTGCGTTCTATTCATTAGTTGCTATTACACTCTGCGTTCTATTCATTAGTTGCTATTACACTCTGCGTTCTATTCATTAGTTGCTATTACACTCTGCGTTCTATTCATTAGTTGCTATTACACTCTGCGTTCTATTCATTAGTTGCTATTACACTCTGCGTTCTATTCATTAGTTGCTATTACACTCTGCGTTCTATTCATTAGTTGCTATTACACTCTGCGTTCTATTCATTAGTTGCTATTACACTCTGCGTTCTATTCATTAGTTGCTATTACACTCTGCGTTCTATTCATTAGTTGCTATTACACTCTGCGTTCTATTCATTAGTTAGTTGAATATCCATCTCCCTACTGTGCCGGTAATTCCTATTGCGCGAATTTTATGCGCAATTACACCATGTTCATATCTGTTGAAAGCTTTTGCAAAGTCTGTGTATATTACATCAGCGTTTTGCTCGTCTTCCACGGCACCTAGTTCACACCCAGGGAAGCCTTCTCCAAGAGGTCAGCCCAGATGACCTCTGGATTATTTTGAATGTTGATTAAAAAATTCCTGGGTTAGTCTTAGTCAGCTATCTTGAGATGTCTTGAGGTTATCTTGAGATGATTTCGGGGCTTTAGTGTCCCCGCGGCCCGGTCCTTGACCAGGTCAAAGCTGGAGAAATTGCTGACCTAGAGAGCGTGCAGAGATCCTTTACTGCTAGAATCCACTCAGTAAAAACATCTAAATTACTGGGACCGACTAAAGAGCCTAAATCTGTACTCCCTTGAGCGCAGGCGGGAGAGACGTGGAAAATAATTGAGGGGCTGGTCCCAAACCTGCACACAGACATGAGACCAGAAGACATGGCAGGATGTGCAGAATACCCCCGTTGAAAAGCAGAGGTGCAACAGGTACTCTGAGAGAGAACTCTATCAACATCAGAGGCCCGAGACTGTTCAACACGCTTCCACTACACATAAGGGGCATAACTGGCAAACCCCTCACAGTGTTAGAGAGTGGATAAGCACCTCCAAAGGAAGATCAACCAGGCTGTGACTCTACGTCAGGCTGCGAGCAGCCGCGTCTAACAGCCTGGTTGATCAGTCCAGCAACCAGGAGGCCTGGTCGACGACCGGGCCGCGGGGACACTAAGCCCCGGAAGCACCTCAAGGTAGCCTCAAGGTAGGTAGGCCTCCACCCCCAGGAAGCAGCCCGTGACAGCTGACTAACACCCAGGTACCTATTTTACTGCTAGGTAACAGGGGCATAGGGTGAAAGAAACTCTGCCCATTGTTTCTCGCCGGCGCCCGGGATCGAACCCGGGACCACAGGATCACAAGTCAAGCGTGCTGTCCGCTCGGCCGACCGACTCCCTTTTTTTTTATGACCGACCGCTAGTTTCAAGTATGTAATATTTCATGATACTCTTGTCAAACATTGCAATGGAATTAGACCCCAGATTCTTAGGTGTAAACATCCATGGATCTCCCCCTTTTAGCTAGGTCAGAGGTCAGCCACACTCGTAATTAATAATTCCTCTCTTGAACAGTGTATGGTGAATGTCAAACAAGCTTGATGAAAAAATTATATGAGTGAGAATATATAATTCTCCCTCTCCCCCCCTTTTGGGGTTTATATATTGGTCCTGTAGAGACTTAGAGACAGAGTGCCGGACACCAGGGTCACAGGAGTGGATCTGTGAGAACATTGCACAGCCAGGGAGGGACAGAGTGAATCCACCGGAGGGAGAGACAGAGGTCTTAAGGTAAAATGTGATCTCCGAGGGTTTTGTTTCATGTCTAAATTTCTTAACTATTGGCCAGTGTTAGAGTAGGATTTATAGTGGTGAGTAGCATAATTTTGTTCTCAATAAACTTGTGTTAAATTTCCCGTCTGTGTCAATTGTTGAATCCTCTTAGCCTTTTGGATATCGTGGGCTGACAACCGTCCCATAATTAATGACAGTTATAGAAATTACTCTCCAAGTCAAGCAATGTTTCTTGCCTCGTTGCTTGATATAGTCTCAATGGTCAAGGCAGATGGTGGCAGCGTATTAATCCTGTGTAGCATTCCCTTGGAAGGGTACCTTTGGTTCCGATGTTACCATCATATGTTAGCTTATATTATAGTGTTCAATAACAGTGTTGCTAAGTGCAACCGATAGGAAGTGTTACTCAGGATAAGTAGCAGGGTTTCATTTTTAGTTTATATTTATACAGGTGTTACAATGGTTTATGTCTCCAAGCACCAAGTACCCAGCTGTGTCTGGGTACAAGTGACAGGATGAACAACCCAGCGGGTTTTCTTCCTATTGGGGAGTGTTGTACATTCTGCTATGGCGGTATGTTCACTCACAAGATGAGTGGCGCTGCCCAAAAACTCGCCCCTCGGGGCAAAATTTAAAATTTAAAATGGTTTATGTAGATGTGATTTCATGTGATTTGTAATCTTACTTCTTGGCACTCTCTCAAAGATTTTTATGATGTGTGAGGTTAGAGCTTTTGGTCTATAATTTTTTGCATCTGCTTTACTGCCTCCTTTATGACGTGGCGCGATCTCCGCTGTTTAAGTATGTCAGGGATGACGCCTGTATCTAGGCTCCGTCTCCAAAAGATGTTTATGGCCTATGATAGTGGTGTTTTGCACTTACCTACTTGATACCTGCTTGATGGGGTTTTGGGAGTTCTTCTATTCCCCCAAGCCCGGCCCGAGCCCAGGCTTGACTTGTGAGAGTTTGGTCCACCAGGCTGTTGCTTGGAGCGGCCAACAGGCGGGCCGCCTTCTTGATGAATATAGAATTCCACGAGTCAGGGCCTGGTGCAGAGTGCATGGGCATGCTGTCTATGGCTACTTCAAAGTCCAGTAGGGTTAGGGTGACATCTGATATGTGGTTTGATGTTGGTGTCACAGTCATGAAGAATTCATTTGGATCATTGATCTTCAATGTGTTCAGGGGTTCACTGAAAACAGAATCCTACAGAAGTCTCAGTATTTCACTCATTTCTTTGTTGTCATCTGTGAAAGTTACTTCACCCTTGCGCAATTAAGGGGCCCAATGCTGGATGCAGTTTTTTTCTAGTTTTTGTATAGGAGAAAAAGGTTTTCGCGTTCCTCTCTACTTCACTTATTACCTTTTTGTTCCCTTTGCCTCTCTTGGATTTTATATGATTCTCTCAGCTTGAGCTCGATCATTCCTATTTCCCTACACAACCTTCCTGGTCGGTGTTGGGATAGTGGAGCGTCTGAGATGTTCTGCTGTTTGTTGTCTTCGTCATCTTGAGGTCATTTTGAGATGATTTCGGGGCTTTAGTGTCCCCGCGGCCCGGTCCTCGACCAGGCCTCCACCCCCAGAGAGCAGCCCGTGACAGCTGACTAACACCCAGGTACCTATTTTACTGCTAGGTAACAGGGGCATAGGGTGAAAGAAACTCTGCCCATTGTTTCTCGCCGGCGCCCGGGATCGAAACCGGGACCACAGGATCACAAGTCAAGCGTGCTGTCCGCTCGGCCGACCGACTCCCTTTTTTTTATGACCGACCGCTAGTTTCAAGTATGTAATATTTCATGATACTCTTGTCAAACATTGCAATGGAATTAGACCCAGATTCTTAGGTGTAAACATCCATGGATCTCCCCTTTTAGCTAGGTCAGAGGTCAGCCACACTCGTAATTAATAATTCCTCTCTTGAACAGTGTATGGTGAATGTCAAACAAGCTTGATGAAAAAATTATATGAGTGAGAATATATAATTCTCCCTCTCCCCCCCCTTTTGGGGTTTATATATTGGTCCTGTAGAGACTTAGAGACAGAGTGCCGGACACCAGGGTCACAGGAGTGGATCTGTGAGAACATTGCACAGCCAGGGAGGGACAGAGTGAATCCACCGGAGGGAGAGACAGAGGTCTTAAGGTAAAATGTGATCTCCGAGGGTTTTGTTTCATGTCTAAATTTCTTAACTATTGGCCAGTGTT